ATTCCTGTTCATCTCCCGAGATGAGGATGGCAGGTGCCAGGGAAGCTCTGATCGTGGACGTTTGCCCAAGAAGGAAAAGTCCTGTGTGGAAGCATTCCATCCGCTGAGGGAGGACAGCACAGGCACACAGGGAAAGGTGGGCCCCCTCTTAATATCTGGAAGCGGCTTAAACAAGTCTCTAGGAAACTTTTTAAATCCTTTCACTGGCCTAACAATAAGTACCAAGTGTTATCACCTATGCCCTTAAGAAAACTGCAGTCTTTTAAAAAAAGGTAATTCCCCCCCCCCTTTTAAAAAACGACCTTTTCTTCTGTTTTAATTGATGACCTACATATTATTTCTTGTTTGGGGGCCATACATGACCTGCTTTCTCTTATACTGAATTAATATTTACTGTATTGATTCCAGGATCTGAGCATCTGGTTTCATTTGTAAGCAGAAACAAACCCATTTTCCCCGGTGCTGAGTCAGCACTTTGGCCCCAGACCCCGCAGACCCCGGGCTCCTGTATTTTCTGGAAGAAAGAGCTGACTGCAGCAGAACAATGCTGAGCCTCAGCCAAGGAAAGCTTCCGAGACACAGCACCTGGGTCCTCCCGGCTCAAGTGCTATTTTGCTATGCAGGAGCGCCCCGGTTTCAGCTCTTAAATCACTAATTGGTAGTGGACACATTTTAAAGAGCTTTGAGGAGATATTCGAGGAGCCCAGGATTGAAACAGTTGGATGACATAAAGGATGAGAGATGCCAACAAAGAGCTAAGGTGCGAGAGTGTTAAGCTGTATATTTTATTTACATACAGAATAAATAGCCTTACAGAAAGAGATTTTCTTCCCAATTAGTTGATACGATTGTTGATTACTATTATAAAAAAAATATTTTTGATTGATTTCAGAGAGAGGAAGGAAGAGGGGAGATAGAAGCATCAATGATGAGAATCACCTATTGGCTGCCTCCTACACGCCCTCTACTGGGGATCAAGCCTGCAACCCAGGCGTGTGCTTTGACCGGGAATTGAACTGTGACCTCCTGGTTCATAGGTTGACACTCAACCACTGAGCCACACTGGCTAGGCCTTTATCACAATCTGTGATAACATGCCATTCATAGGACCAATTGGACTTAGGAGTTGTTCAGCCAAGTTTTTGGCTTACCTTTGACTGTGGTTGAGACAGGTGTGATGAACAATTGACGTTGCAGCCTGATGTAAGCAGGATTCTGTAATGAGTCTTGAAATCTTTGGTTGATGTCTGGTTCCCACCGTCATTGAGTTTCAAAACCAGTAGGCAGCCTCCTTTTAATGTATTTCCTTCACTTGCGATTAAAGACAGAAGCTCTATTTAGTGAATCATAAAAACTGTCTTTTCCCATAATTAGCAGCTTGGGATTTTTCAATTGTATTTGGGTGCCGTCGTTAAAATTAACCTGTTAACTGAATGGGACCTATAAATACGTCAAACGTAAACAATATCGGGAACGGGTAGGACGTATGAATACGTCCTGGAAATATATGTTGCGCCCTGAGAGAGATGGTATATATTTTTTGTAATCTTTATAATTGTTTGTAAAATTTATAATTTTTTAATTCGATGTTTCCATTTTTTTGTTGGTATTCTTTTCTATTTTTTTGTAATTTTGTATTTTCCTGTGCTTTATATATAAATAAATGAAAATATATATATCATTTATTTTAATTAAGTATAAATAAAAAATAATAATAATATGAAATTACGTCCTCCGGGCGTGACGTACTGACACGTCCTAGTGAAAGAGTACGCGCCCATTACAGGTTGCATAATTAAAAAGGGAACTCCCCGGTTAACAGGCTAAGATAATTATGATTTTTGCACATGCACTGTACCTTCAGACGGGAAGAGTGTTGGCTACATCTGCCAGATGGATCCGCGTGTTCTCCCTTTGATTCGCACACCCACCCTCTCTTCCGGAACATTTCCGATCCCAGGGCCACAGCTGCCCATTGGGGGTGCTGGTCCTGTTACAAAATGAGCCAATCATCGTGCTGGTTGGAAGTGGCATTTGGTAAGGAAGTACATCTGAAATAAAAATGAAGTCCTGTTTTGTGAAAATGCTCCTTTTTGCCCTCAGTCCTCTGTGATGGGGTTGTAGGTTGATGCTCTGGGCTTCCCACGAGTGAATGAATGCCTGTGGCTAGTCCTACAGCTGCTTTCTTTGTGGTTTGCCTCCCGTCCACTGGGAAGCCCAGGCTTCCCGCCGGCCTCCCAACTCTAGTGCTTTTGAACACAGAACCCCCATCCTCCCACCATCCAAACGCCACATTCCAGCCCTGTGATGTCACGGTACCAGGCGTGTCTCCCCCGCCACGCCGCCCGGCTGCCTGCTGACTCCCGCCCGGGAACAGACCGAACGTAAACTCCCCGCAGAAGAGCAGGATGCTCTCTGTATATTTTTAAGACCAAAAGTCCAGTTCTCATTTACAGGCTGTATTTGCTTAATGGCTGCTTAAACATTGAACGGAACATTTCTTGTTGCTTTTATTTCTCGATAACATCATTCCCTCTGCGTGGACATACAAAATCACAGAAACTGGAGAATGAAAAAGATGGATTAGGTCCTGTTCGGGCCTGGCCCACTGATCGCAATTCCTTTTTCTCTCTGGTGCTTTTCTCTTCTAGTTTTCTCAAGAATTAGTGTCTCCATTTCTCCTGGGGAATAAGTCCTTAGTTTGACCACGGAGGGATTGATGTGGAAATATTCTCTCTTTTTTTTTTTTCAGATTGATATTCCTAGTCTTCATAACTCTTTACATTAACAAAGAGTCTCTCTTCATCCTAGGACAGGTCAGGTATTTCTGGATGGTATTTTTCTCTCTCTTCCATTTATTAAATTCAGAGCTTGTTTTTCTGCTTTGCTTTCTCCCTTCATCAATCAGACCCTAACGCCCATTCATCATTTTTACCTCACTGAAAGCTTATTCCAACATTAGGAACCCAGGGCTGGTTAAGGTCTCAGGTATTGGAGGATGCCTCAGTGATAGGTACTAATTCTATGCTAACTCTCTCTCTTTCTCCATCTCTCCTCCCTCCCTCCCTGGCCTCCCCACCCCCTTCTCTCTCCCTCTTTCTCTCCTGCTCCCTGAGCCTCAGTTCTCAACTATGAACTATTTCTAAATTATGATTTGGGGAGTTAGTCATTTGCAGGCCTATTGTGTGTGTGTGTGTGGTTTTAATTGGTAAGGTATATTTCTTTGCAGTTACTTTGAAGATATATTTCATATCCTCAGAGTCAAAAATCTTTTAGGTCTCCTGAGTGCTTACATCAAGTGCAACTTTGGACCTATGACATGGCATTCTACTTTAGGACTATCATCTCAGGAGCAGAGAGAAAAGTGAGCAGCTATGGGGTGAAAACAGACCGTATCTGTAGTGTTTGGAATTCCTGGGGACGGGGAAGGCAAATATAAATAGCTCACGTTTCTCTCTTAGGAGCTAGTATCAGGTATAAACATAAGGACTTTTTAATGTTACTTTTTTTAAAAGTTCAGCTCTGTTGAGATATAGTTGATAAAGTTGTGAGATATATAAAGTGAGCATGAAGATAATATGATATAATTGTGAAAAGGTTTCCCCCATGTAGTTGAGCAACATATCCATCATGTCACATATTTATGTTATTTGTTTGTTTTTTATGGGTTTGTTTTTGTTGTTGTTGTTGTTCTAGTGAGAACATTTAACTTCTGGTCTCTTAACAAATTGCAATTACACGACACAGTGTTATCAACTACAGCCACGGGTTTTACCTTAGACACTCACATGCTAAGTGTTCCCTGTATTGGAGGACCCACAGTATGAAGATGTTGGTTCTCCTCAAAGCAATCTATAGATTCCACATAATTTGACCAAAAACTCCAACAATTTTCTTTTCTCTTGGAATTTGACAAGATGATTCTAAAATTATCTTGAGTAATAAATTGTAAAGGGCCAACGATGGGTAACTTCTTTTGAAGTAATAAAAAGCCAAGTATGATTTATCAAAGTAAAAAGAAGCTGAAGTATGAAAAAGTTAAGTAACTTTATCAAGAGGTCATATTAGAAATAGAGTGTCCATTTCCAAATTTCTAGCCCAAGATCCTGCAAACTTAATTATGTTAGTTATATAATTAACTACATTTAATATATACACTTAATTATATGATATTGCTGATATTACACAGGCAATTATTGTTAGAGAAAACTGAATTAAGTAAATAGTAGCCTTTTACTGCTAATCTATGGCCTTCATTGCCTTTACTTCAAAATGAATGAAATCGCATGAAAAAGCCATGCAGTCCCTTTACTTTCCAATGAAATTTGATTCTATGTCTGAAGTCTTTCTCACTGGATCCACAGTCATCTTTTCTTTCTGTGAACTCCCACCTGTACCCCACTATTTATCTTTCCAAACTGGTCAAGGTCATGCTGCCACATTGTACTCTTATCTTCATAAACACATCCTCTCTCTCCAGTTTGATTGCATTCTCTTGGGGAATGCAAACCGTTTTGTATATGTGTCTTTGTAAGTTTTTTAGTTACAAAAAAACACACCCATGTTTTATTTATTTTTAAAAAATATATTTTTAAATGATTTCAGAGAGCAAGGGAGAGGGAGAAAGAGATAGAAACATCAATGATGAGAGAGAATCATTGATCAGCTGCCTCTAGCATGCCCCACACTGGAGATTGAGCTGAAACCTGGACATGTGCCCTGACTGGGAATCGAACTATCATCTTCTGGTTCATAGTTTGATGCTCCACCACTGAGCTATACCTGCTGGGCAAACCCCACGTTTTAAATATAATTTTCTGACCCTAATAGCACCAAACACTGCTTTGCCTAGAGTAGGCACAAAACAAATGCATGAGAATGATGACTGTCAGGTTGCAGTTTTAAAAAAATAAGTCTAGCCATTGTAGCTATGGTAACCTGGACATAAGGTTCGTGGAGTCTACCCCAGAAGCAAATATGTCTGTTTTCCTCTGTTCCAGAAAGATGCCATGAGGCGAGTATTCTCTGGCATTCAGCCCACAGGGACCCCCCACCTGGGCAACTACCTGGGAGCCATCGAGAGCTGGGTGAGCTTACAGAGTGAGCCCGGCTCCGTGCTGTACAGCATCGTTGACCTGCACTCCATCACTGTCCCCCAAGACCCAGCGGTCCTGCGCCAGAGCATCTTGGACATGACGGCGGCTCTCCTGGCCTGCGGCATAGACCCAGAGAGGAGCATCCTTTTCCGGCAATCTCAGGTCAGCCTCTCAGAGGGGAGCCCAGGACACGTCTATTTTCAGATTCTTTGAGGAAAATTTTGAATGGGTTTACCTAGCTCCAGTTTTTAAAAAAATTGGTTAGGGGTGATTTCATCCAATGTGATGGTTTCATTTAAATGTTTTCCTTGTATACATAGCATTAAGTATCACTATATAATGCAGTAGTATTTTTTCAACTTTTCCCCTACTATGCATGGTAAGTGTATATATACCAAGTCGAGTCTTATTAGTACTTCTGAGCCTGGAATTGTTTTCTGTACTGCGTTGCATTCAAACGGATGACTTCATACTGTTGCCTAATCTCCTGAGGGATCAAGGATAGAATTTAGCGACCAGTGGCTTACGTAACTCCAATGTTGCTTTATCGGGCATTGCATTTGGAAGTCCCATTGTTCATTCTTTGTATAATAGCTTTTGAAAAGATTTGAGAGAAGTAGCTGGGAAATTTGGAAGGCAACGTCCAGTGACTTGAGTCCAAGCCAAGAAAGGCTTCAGAACAGAGCCAAAATATTGACTCACATCTTCACTGTGGATGAATCCGCTTGCTCTGGGACAGGCAGATAGCTTAGGCTAGCCTAGAGACAGGGTCCTTAAGAGAGTCCGTAGCAAAAAGTATGACAATGCTAAATGGATCATGTCCTCATTACATATCTGCTTTCACCTTATGGCAGAGCCCCAACCAAGGAATGATACGTTTGGTGGCCATAAACCACCATCCCTCATAGTAGCTCATCACCATTTTATTTATTTATTTATTTATTTATTTATTTAAATATATTTTATTGATTTTGTACAGAGAGGAAGAGAGAGGGATAGAGAAGTAGAAACATCAATGAGAGAGAGTCATCGATCAGCTGCCTCCTGCACACCCCCTACTGGGGATATGCCCTCAACCAAGGTACATGCCCTTGACCGGAATCAAACCCGGGACCCTTCAGTCCCCAAGCCGACGCTCTATCCATTGAGCCAAATCGGTTTCGACAACTCATCACCATTTTAACAGTATGAATAGAAACTGTGCTTGCCTAGTGCCCATATAGTGCCTAGGAAGGAGTGCCTAGACATCAGTCCTTTAGAATGGCCATAAAGTTTCATTTATTCGTGGGGAGGATGATAAGTTACTCCTCATGGTTTATCCTGAAACTGAAGGCTTTTCTCATTCAGATAGAGCCCCAATGCACGAAATTCATGCAAGAGTAGGCCTTCCTTCCCCTGACTGCTGGCACCGGCTTTCCCGTTGGCACCCAGGACCTGGGCTTCCGTCAGGTTGCTGGCAGGAACCTGAGACCCAGGCTTCCCTTGCAGCCCGACCTCATCCCAGAAGGCTGTCTGGTCTAATTAGCATATTATGCTTTTATTATTATAGATAAGCTAGGATCCCTTTAGCAGCTATTATTTTAAACATCTGACCTCATGTTTGCAGGTGAAAACATCATCATGGTTGTTCATGTTTTATGTCTTGCAATATTCAAATCAACCATTAACAACTGTTTTCATCAACCTATGGAGTCTCCAATAGTTGGGGATTGGAAAGAAAATACTCATAGCATTTTTAGATCTAGGAAAAAATATTGAAAGTAGTTTTTATTCGATAGCTAACCTTTTTAAGATTTATGAAGCCTTTTTCATGCATATGATCTCTCTTTTCATCCTCAAAATAGCATATAAGTCGGGCATTACTGTTCTTTCACAGGTGAATAAATGAAGGTATGAAAAGAGTAAATAAATTAGAAAATACTCTTAATTCCATCTCTGAGGGGTTCCTCATACTTAGTAAAATGCTTAACAAATAAATCTTAATTAGCTACCTGAGACCATACAGCTAGTAGGTGGCAAATCCGGGGCTTTTGTTCTCCCCGAGATACCACTTCTGGAAGGTACACTCATGGGAGAGAACCTTATTTTCCTCCACCAGCCCTTTGCCTCAGGAGCTGGTGGAACATGGGCAGTGGAGAGGCAGACTGACCTCAAGGCCGTCATTATTTCTTGCCTGGACAGTTAATTACCCTCTTACTCCTGTGTCAGTCTCAGAAATGGAGAGTCCATTTCCCACACTGTCACATGGTCATCATTCTACTTAACATGCATCGCCACCTCCCTTCCAGCCTCAGGGCAAAACTCTAAACGCAGTTTAAGGAGAGCCTTCTAATGGGGCCCCAAGAACACCAGGCCAGTGTGTCTTCCCCTCCACCACTGCCAGTCATCAGATTGTTTGTGTTCCTTCAGGCGATCTGATTAACTTTCACCGATAACTCCGCAGAGCAGAAGCTGGAGTCTTTTCTGTGGTTTTATTTTTAGAAAGTTTGATAAATCAATTCTTATTAAACATAACTTAGAGACCAGTTGTTTACATTCAGACAAGGATTTTGTTAGTTCTTTTATGTTGGGGAATTTCACAGTGTGTTTAATTGATCGTTAAATATGTCACAGAGAAAACAGAAACTTAAGAGTACAATTGTACGTAAAGTGTTGGGAGCCACTGCCAGCTAAAATTAGTTATACCTGATGAACAAAAATAGAACGAGAGACATAGAAGCTTCGAACAGACTGTCCAGCCTACGAGGGAAGACGGGGGGAAAGGTGGTACAAGATCACAAAAGGACCTGTATGTATGCATATGAGCAAAAGCAATGGACACAGACAGCAGGGGGTTGAGGGCATGTGTGGGGGGTGGGAGGGGCTGGGGAGAGGTCAATGGGGGAAAAAGGAGACTCGTAATACTTTAAGCAATAAAGAATTTAAATTTAGAAAAAAATGAGTTATACGTGTATTCCTCCTCCCCCCTGTACCCCCCCACGCAATTATTTACAAGTAAAATTAAGAATATTTGAAACTGTCAATTAGAGGAAAACATGTTTGCTTTAGATTGTGTACTCTTTTCACATGTGTCTGTTGTGTTAGGAAAGTGCTTCCAGCTAAACAGAAAGGCTAGTTCCCCAGGTGCTACTGTTGTCTTTGGAGTAAGTTCTAGTAACATTTGAAGTAGGGAAGAATTTAGCTAGGTTATAATGCTGATTTTACCAATAATTTTCATCTCCAATCCTTTGCATTCTTTCTCAGCAGTCTGACTGGAACAATTTAGGCTTATTGAAGATTTTTCTCATTATTTTCCTTTTCTTTCTCTCCCACTGGCCTCTAGTCATGGTGCTTCCCCTAAAATATGTTTGCCATATGTGGGGAACTGTACAGTCTCTCTGAAAGGTGTGTATGTGTGTGTGTGTGTGTGTGTGTGTGTGTGTGAGAGAGAGAGAGAGAGAGAGAGAGAGAGAGAGAGAGAGAGAGAGAGAGAGAGAGGGACTGTCTATGTGTGTTTGGCAGAGGTTTTCATCCCTATGCCAAACTCAATGGTCTTTTATTTCCAGCATGCTTGAGTGCACATCCAATCTGATTCCCACAGCTGTCTGTGAGGTGTGTTTCTCCACATCTTCAGCTGTTACTCTCCTTGCAGTGAATCACCCTGCAGATGGAAAATAAAAGCCGGAGACCGTAGCTTGCAGCATGCCTTCCTGCAAGGCCAGGAGCAAAGGACAGGACGTCATGTTACACAGGGTCCACACGGTCCAGGGAAGAGTCGAGGGAGGAGATTGGAATCTGCGGCTTTGGCTTGTGGCCCCATTCGCTAATGAGAGTCATGTTGTGTTTCCCAGGAAATGAAAATCAATAATAACAAAGGAAAGGGAGCTACGGGGGAATCAGTTTCTGAATGAAGGCCCGGGGAACTGACTACATGAATCTTGGCTCGCTGAATACAAACAAAAGTTATGCCTGACCCATGGCCTCTTGTCTGAGAGGTGTAGCACCATGGCCTAACCGTGGACAGAGAATCTCTTGTGTTCTCCCGGGTCCTAGTAATGGTGGAAGCATTTCTGAGGACAGATTTGACCTCTCAGGTGGTTAGACCACCCATAACAGGTGCATGTTCAACTCATCTCTGAAAAGAAGCAAACGAACATCTGACAGATGGATGGACTTGAGGGATCTATTTGTAAAACGGGCATCATCTCCCAAGTTTCCAGGGAGCGGCAAAGGATCTGAATGGCCCATGCGTAAATAAGAATAACCAACGTCTCATGTTATTTCCTTCTCTGGGAAGTTTGCAGGTAGTACCACTCCCTCCTCTTCCCCCCCCACCATATCTATGCTTCTGTGTGACTCGATGAGCAAGTTGTAGTGTTTGTACCTCCTCCATTCTGGGCTACCTGCCTGAACCTCACTGTGACACTGGACAAATTACTCACGCTCTTTGAGCCCCCTTTTAATGTCTGTAATTGGAGATTTTAATAATATGATGTACAATACCTAGCAGATGATAACTTCCTCTCTTCCATCCTACCCTACTATGCACATAATGCCCACAACCCAGGCTCCTTGATTTATTTATGGGTGGAGTGGAATTGGAAGATGGAGTGGGGGTGTGTGTGTTAAATTAATAACAGTACTTCTCTTTTTACTCAATAATAAAAATATTTTTTAAAGAGTTTGTTGTTTGTTTTGAATACTCAGAAAAATGTAGTTTTTATTTGCACTTTCCCAGTGATTACTGATGCTGAGCATCTTTTCTTTGCTTGTTGGCCATTTCTATTGCGTCATTGGAGTAATGTCTGTTCAAGTCCTTTGCCCATTTTTTTAATCAGGTTGTTTGTTTGTTTTTTGTTTTGAGTCGTAGGAGTTCTTTGTTTATTCTAACCCTCTTGCTCTTTTTCCTTCTAACTTGAGAATAACATGTTCTAGATGAGGGTGCTTTTTCATTCTGGGTCCTGGAATGAGAAGTTGTATAAAGCAGAGTTATACCAGCCTGTAACTACCAGTATGTAATGTGAGTGAGAAAGAAACCACTGTGGTAAGCCACTTATATTTGGGATTGTTACCCAGCATAGTCTAATGCTATAGATAAAAAATATACAAGTACACACATGTACACAACAAGCAATGGAATTTAGATGGAGGTGGCTTTTAAGTCAGGAGCAGACTGATAGAAG